TGCAATTGACTAGAATTGTTTGCTGCTTGATCAACTATAACACAGTTGTTTCTTACCTAAATATGTTATAGTTAGAGATACAGTTAGATTGTATTTAGGTCTTACTATGATGTTTTAGTTAATTATGTATTAGTTATGTTTTAAAATGCATAATTGAAACGTTTAAACATTTTTTAAGTATACAATGTACTTTGCATCCATTCTGAAGGCTTGCGATATTATGTGCCAAACGAACATTTTGCCAAAGGGTTGTGCATGTCTCCCAAAGAAATATCTTGAGGGTACCATTGACTTGTGTTGAGATAAATGGTAAAGGAAAAGAATCAAAAATAACACTTTAGAAATTAACTAAATGTGAAAAGGACCTGAAATTATGAATATAAGCAAAATATATTTAAAAATATTCTATAAAAAGTCAAAAGTATGTTTGTTTTTTATTTCCTACTTTTAATCATTTAATTGCATTGTATGTAGATGATAATAGCTACAATTAGTGATATGGTAAAGAAAATGAAAAATATAATATGAACATTTACCTTAAAAAAACTTTTGATATCTTTTAAATGGATCTAGAGATTATGCAAATGAAATATGAAAACTATAAGATGAAGAAAAATATTTTTATACTTAAAATGAAAATCACCTTGCACTCAATTTGTTATTATTTTGAATGCAAGTAACTACGACAGAAAAATAACATATTTTTAGTGAAAACACTTAATTATAAAACCGTCATAATTTGTGTACAAGCTACTTATGATCTTTAACAAAATCTTACCAGTTTTTGAGAGGATACATTAAGAAATCTCCGAGTTACCATATATATTGTTGTACAAGTAAAATTCGTAACTTTATTTCCACAAATTACACAAGCCTACTGCGAAACAGTTAAGTAATTTTCCTGCTTTGGAGATAGTTGATGATCCAATAGCACCTTATTGTTTTCTTATGTTCACTTTCTGTAGTTAGTACTGACCTTTCTCACTTTACTTTATGTCTACAGTATTCTTGCTACTAAATGAAATCAGTCTTGACTGTTGCTTGAAAACTTAACTCGGTTATTAGTAAAAAGGACTCAGAAAACAGACTTATTTCATAAAGCTGTACATTGCTGTGAACAGGAATCACAAATAAATTGTAGGAAGTTACTAAATGTAAAATGGAAAGTATCACTTTAAAACATTAGTGCCTCTGCATCCATGCTATTTGAATATGTATCTTTCTATCCAATACTATAAACTTTTTACAGTTGGTTTGTTGGGAAACAATTTTCTAGTGTTTTTATAACATGAAAAGGCATGTATAACTTACTTTTACTAGTATGTGGCAGTTTAAGTTACAGTGCAATGGATATAACCATCCCAAAATGCAGAGAAACATTAATTTTTACTTCAAATTCTAATTAAAATATTACCACAAAATCTTAGCTATCATCATATGTACTGTGATCTTTAAGGTATGGATACTTATCAGCCCTCTGTTGTCTTCTTAGGTCATTGGAATGCACTACTTTTCTCCTGTGGACAAGATGCAGCTCCTCGAAGTGATCACCACAGACAAGACATCCAGTGATACTGCAGCAATGGCTGTAGATGTTGGACTTAAACAAGGAAAGGTTGTAATTACTGTAAAAGATGGGCCAGGATTTTACACAACGCGTATTCTGGCTCCTATGTTGGCTGAAGCAATGAGAATATTACAAGTGAGTACATCACACACAAAAATTAGTTTTCTTAACTGTAAAAATGGATGTCAGGATTTTGGAGTAACTGGTGATTATAATTGGCTGTGTAATCTAATTAAGATAGTGAAATGAATAGCTTTGATATGTTCAATTTTAACATTTTATTTCAGCTTTTGTAGGAGTTATAGAAATTATTTTGTAATTGTGAAAGTGGTTTGTGCTGTATGGATTTCTGTTGATTTTTCCACAAGGAGTTGATATACTAATTATACTTTTTATATGTAACTTCTTGATGAGTTTGTTTTTGCATTATATGCTAGATAGTATGCTACAGTGGAAACTTGTGGGTGAAGCATCTATTGTTTTATAGGAAATTTAAATTTCTAATACTAAAATATTTAAAAAAATTTAAATAGGAAGGTACAAATGTGAAAGAACTAGATTCTCTGACCAAAAAGTTTGGATTTCCTGTTGGAGCTGCCACCCTGGTTGATGAAGTTGGCATTGATGTTGCTGCACACATAGCAGAAGACTTGGCTGGAGTGTTTGGAGAAAGATTTGGTGGCTCAGATGTAGGAATCTTGAAAGATCTGGTAGCAGCAGGCTGCTTGGGTGAGTTTTTTATCTGCTGTGAAATTGTTGATATCTTTTTTTGAACCCCACAAGAATTTTAATCATTTCAATCCATACATTTTATGTTTTACATTTATATTTTTATATTTTCTATCACACTAATTTTGGCAAGTATATTTCTTTTCCAAATAGTCCATTCCATTATGATCACTTACCTCCCTCACCAGTGCTGAATTAACCATGAGGCCAATGAGGCAGCTGACTCATGGCCCCCACAAAATAGGGTCTCCACAAATATTTTGTAAACATTATTTATGAATATTGTGATATTCGATTTATATATTTATTTCTTATATCCGAAAGAGCCTCCATAAGGGCCTTCACATTCTTTAACCCAGCCCTATACCTATCAGTTACAGCTATCCTTGATTTGACTGCTCTCAATTATACAATTTTTCTCTTGTCACTAACCTTGAAACTCCCACCTAACTCCACTTGTAGTTCAGCTGTGTTATAGCATGCAAATAAGGATGCGACACTCCTCCATCAATAGGAGTGTGACACACCCTCCCATCATAGTTGACTCCCTTTATGCAGTTTAACTCTCTCAACACGGACTCAGTCAATTTGACCAACCACGTAACCTCTTTCTACTCATTTAAAGTCTTTATAAATTTAATACTTCTAACTTTCAATATAATGTGTATATCTTCACAAAATTTGGCAGTCCTTCAGTTAATATTATAAATTTTTCACATACAAAAAATCATGTTTTTAATGAAGTATTTTTTAATAAAAAAAAATAAAATAATGGTTCATGAATATATTGAGTATTTGTTTTGAATAGTCCTTGTGCAAAGTAATTCATGTTAAAGTTAAAAATACTTTTCCTCATCTCAAAATATATCAAATTTCCTTTATGTAATCTCTAAAACCTCCTGAATGCCTTTCAAACGTTTTTTTTCAGTAAAACTTTATAGTTTATCTGTTATTTTCTCTACTCTATCTCAAAACAGGATCAGTCAATTCAACCAACCTCATAACCACAAAAAAAAATCGAAATTGACCTGAATTACCCTTTTTTCTTTCTAGAATGACTTCAAATTGTAACATGAAACTACATTCATTTATCCTAAGTAGCTCTAAGTTCGTAACATTATACATTGTTTATAATTAAATGTTATTGTTCTATTGCCCTTTGAACTGTTTCTAACTACTACCCGTACAATT